CGAGTATTGATTCCCAAAGAGAGACTGTTATCAAACTTTTACATCAGGCAGCCCCTTCCTATCATCAATGAATAAAAAAATATAATAGCATGTATACACAACGAAAGACGAATTTCGAATATCTAATTCAGTCATTACCTCTGCATGACGTTCGACCATCGACACTTGGACTCGGTTCACCAACATTGTTCTTTACATCGATGACTTTTATGCGGAACAGGTACGGTGTATCAGGAGACAGGCCGGTCACTCGGTCAGTGTACTTCATCTTCATGCTGTCGTGCTTTACAATGCCGTTGTACTCTTGCCATGCGGATTCGTCGTACTTCCTATATTCCAATAGATATCCAACGACTCGGCTTTGCATTAACGAAGTGATCGGGTCCCACTGGAGTGTTATACTATCCGGTTCTCTGTCGGTAATGACTGGAGGCGCAGACAGGGAGGGTATCACTGAAAAATATGTTATATTGTAAAACTGTTTCTTTATTTGAGAAAAATTTTAATTATGATACTTTTACGACACGTGATAAAAACTACTGTAAGAACCGATATTTCGACTGGTAGCACCAATGTTTTATGAAGAGATCTGCACTACTATAACAAACCAATAATTACAAAATAAATACTGAACGACGGCGAATGATCGTTTGACGATCAATGGAAAACACACCAATCTCCTCGTTTCATCATAAACCACTACTAATGACTGAACTGCTTAAAGCTGATGATGCTAAGATCACAGAGCCAATCTTCTCTTACTCCAAACATGCCTTTCATTTCACTGCTGATTCTCTACTGGCTCATTACGTCAAGAACGTGAAAATGGTACTTATGTTGGCGTGAAGTAGAATCACTGAACAGGTTCAACCACTCAGTGACAATTTGAGTTATATATTCAGCTAAAGTGGTACAGGTACTTACTTGTAAGTCAAGCTAGTGTGGCGAGTAGCAACCTGAAAGACGGCCGTGGGAAGTACTGCTGAGAAGTCGCTACTCAACAATGCGTTTAGACATGTAGACGGAGAATAAGATGACCCTCTTCAACTTAATATCTTTGTTTCCCAAAACATTAGCCATATAGACTGATGCTGTTTTCATTCCTTTCACGTTTTACTGAAAAAGAATGTCTGCAATTGCAGAATGCCGTTGACTACCACGGAAAACCATAAGAAACTAAAAATCCTGAGTAGACCGCATTATCCTACGCAATAAATTGAACCATAGCGGTACGATTAAACTAGATTATGCATTTGCAGGCTAAAGTTTCGTAACATTTTCTTTCCCAGTATGTTTTTCTTTATTTTCGTTATGAGCAACCCTACTTCGACATCTATGCAAATAAAGTAGGAAGGAAAAGTAGAAGGAGGAAGAGAAGAGGCAAAGGAAGAGCAAGGTTATGAAACAGCAGAAGAACAGTTGTAGAGAAACAAATGGAAGAAAAAAATGACAAACAGTCAAAATAATGAGACGAAGAATAAATAGAAGGAAAAAGTCGCAGCAAACAGAAAGGAGGAATACGAGAGGAAAAAAAGGAAGGAGAGGTATAAGCAAACTAATAAAGAGACAAAAAAGTGGAGGAAGAAAGAGGAAAATAAAAACTTACTGGACAATTAAAAAATATAGTAAAAATAAAGGAAAAGAATAAAAAGGAATTAAAAGAAGGGAAAGAAAAAATAAAGTAGTGCAAAGTTAGTTCATTCTTCTTCAGGTTAAAACGACAAATACCTGAAAGGAAGGCAAAATGTCAGAAACTTCAAAAAGTTTGCTAGGAGGCAGAAGAATGACACTGTTGCAGCTAGAAAATGGGTAAATTCAGTTGATGATTGTGTTTCTATCGCTTATGCGACACTCTTAGGTGACTGACTCAAATACACCCTCTT